TCGCAGCCTCCTCCTTTTCCTTTTTAAGCTGTGCAGCTTAGCAGAGTTCAGCAGTGCACGCCTCTCACGTCACTGATGTCTTCTTCACGTCCCCCTGCAGTTGTTATTCCTGTCTTCCAAACACACACCTCCTATTCTCCAGGCAGCCTGTGTGACAGCTGCACCAGCCAGAGCTACACGCTCCCCGTCTTGGACACCCTGTTTGTGAGGAGACGGTGGCGCAGGGCAGGCCTGGCCCTGGGCATGCTGGAGGACTTCTGTAGCTCCTTTGCCAGCGAGGAAGCCCTGGGGATCAGCTGTCCGATTTCTGCCAGCATGTATCAGGGTAAATCGCTCGTAATTCATGGTAGATGGTAAAGCTATTCTGTGCTGACAGGATCTGACAGCCCTCGGCCTCTGGTGAATTCTGGAATGGGTTTTAGCCATGTCTGCAGCAGCTCAGAAGCAAAGCCTTCTCCCCCATGCCTGTAGCTGGCTGCTTGGGTGCCAACTCTGATGGTAATTCTGATATTTCGTTTGCATTGCAGAGGGTGGTTCATGAAATTTGATCGGCTGTGAAATTGCGTGCTTGTTCAGTAAATTGTCTCAAGGGCAGATATAGATAGTGATGCATCCTCTCTAGACCTTCTTAGCACCAGCACAGATAGCCCATACTGGGGTTTTAATGTCCTGCTTATAACAGATAGGTGGGATGGGGGCAGCACTCGTAATTCTTACTTTTCGTTCAACTATGTTGACACTGTTTAAGGAGTATAATAAAGGCAACAGCTGTGTTAAGGCCTTAGACTTAGAGTTGGACCTTTAGTCTTTCCATTTTATTAATGGGAGGTTTTTAAACAAGAGGCCATTCAGCCTCTTGTTTGTTTTTCTGCACCTTCTAGAGTCCAGTATCTCATCCAGCTGTTTCCTTGAAAGATGCCATGTTATCGGTTTCATCAACATGGCTGGGAGGCTTGTTCCATATTTCCAGAGGCCTTTGTTTAAAGCAGTGCCTCCTGTTCTTCTCCTTACTCAGTTTCTTCTGGCTTGCAGTCTTAAGATCATAAGAGTACCATCCATTCAAGAAGTGACTCAATAAGCAAACTGTGAACATAATTGTCAGAGACATTTGTGGTGAGACTCAATCCAAAAGCTGCTTACAATTCAGAGCTGTGAAAACATCTTGACAAAGAACATCTTAGCCTACTGTGTGCTACACGCAGTACACAGTACTTTAATAACAGAATTCAAGGTGATTTCCTGTAGAAGTGAAATAGAACCGCAAACTCTCTATGACGCCTCCGAGATTGAGAAAACAATGTATCTCTCATCACAGCAGTGGTCACTGCTAATGCATGACATTTGTACAGGGTAGGGCTGAGATTCATCAGGATGTTGTTATTGTGGTGACATACGCCGAATGCAGTGCACTGTATTTTCTTAATGTAATAAAATATTTTAAAGTACTTGGACAAACTGGTCAAAAAACAACAGCAAACAACAGCTGTCTGATGCCGTCCCTGAGGCTCTATGAGAGTGCCTGCTGCCCTGTCCTGACCGGTCTGTGTGTCCCGCAGTGTGCAGGAAGTTTCTCCTGGCCCACGAGGAGCTGCGGGACCGCCTGTTCGAGGTGGAGGCCCCTGGGGGCTGGAGCCAGAGGAGCAGCGTGTGGCTACGGGCCCGGCCCGAGGGGACAGCTGCACACCGTGAGGCTCGCACCCGTGCACAAGATCACCTCTAGCGCAGGCGAGACCAGAATGCCTGCTCAGGACCACCGCGGGTCCATGAAAGCTTAGAAATGTAAAAGAAAGATCAAAAACATACAGTAAGCTGTCTTAGTGGCTGCGGGGATGCTGATATTGAGGTGTGGCTGGGTTTAGAGGCCCTTAGACCCTTGTGGTTACTATTATTTATCCCATCAAAGGATCTCAAACAGCAATATAATTAATATTCAACTTTTTCATATTATTGACCATTTATAGATTGAGAGATTGAGAGATAATTTACTCCCCTTTTTTAGAGGAACAGATCATTCTCATTTTGATAAGCTGTAAAATTTAAGCACTTTGATTTTGTTTGGAACATTTCTGAGCAAGACAGAAGTCCGTGGTTACCTCCGGATCAGTCTGGCTGTGCCAGTTTTCTTTCTTATCCATGCATTGTGTCTAAATTGTCAATATGTGCATGTTTCTTTCAAAATAAATCATTTTCAGTTACACATTTTTAAATTACACATAAAACAAATTGCCTTAGTAACTTGTTTATTGTAAACTATATTTTTCAAGCACAACAGCCATCAGGCTGAGGAAGCCTCTGGTAATTCTCTACCATCAGAAGTCCATGTGCTTTTACTCTGTGAATGTAGATCTGTACAGGCAGTATTCTAGGGTGCTACACTTTAATCAAGGAGGCAACTTGGCTTGCTTATTGTCAATTCCTCTGTGCATCATCTTGCCACCTTTCAAAAATGGTTAAAGGTTTCAAGACCCTAGTACAAGAACAATAACTGAGGTGTGTGCGACATATCTGCTTCTTCCTTCTTCCTAACAGTTAAAATAATCCCACTTGATGAGTGAATCTGTACTTTGCCTTTACCAGGAAGTGCTGAGGTGCTGAATGCTGATCCATCTGGGAGCCGCCCGTTGAAATTGGATGATGGAGAGCAAACTGCTGTGGTCAAGCTGACAAAGGTGTAGTCTAGGTCTTTGTAGTTTTTTTAAGTTCCTGCACAGCTGCTGAGGTGGAGAGCATAGGTGCAGGTTTTCCAACCCAGTCTTGTGTTCATGTAACATTTTAATTTCCTCAATTAGCTGAACTTTGCCTCTTTACAGTTATGCTACAGAAAGTAATGAGGAAGCTCAATCATATAAAATACTGACATTTCTAGTAAACACTGTGAAACTGGGAGAACACCTGGGTTTCTTAATGGAGTAACTGTGTCTCTTTGTCCTTGAAACCAGTTAATTAGATAACATTAGATTATTTGATTATTATAGTTACAGTGTATTGATCATTATGAATGAGTCATAAGTAGGTTTAACAGAGTTTTCTTATTTTCCTATGAAAACTAAAGATTAGCACAAGCACTGTTAAGTACCATTTTACAGAGGTTTATGTAAACAATAACAAAAACTAGTAACACAGCTCAGTTATAAAATAGGAAGAATTTCTACAACCAGCTTGATACATTCTTGCCAGGAAAACAATATATTTTATATCATGTACTATTATTATTATTTTATCATATTATAAAAATACAATTACTGAGATAATATATTTCCATTTTTTTTTTCAAACAAATTCCAGCAGATTGAATCTGACCAACCGTTACCCAGAGCTGGCAGTGCTGGGTGTGAAACCCCGAGAGGCAGGGGTCACAAACGGACAGGGCCCGATGCTACAGGAAACACAGTCTCCAAAAGAGCCAAGAAATCAGAGTAGGAGCTGGGATACAGGGGGTCTGATGGGCTTTAATAATCCGAGCTTGATGAGAAGAAACATGATCGGGCCCAAGACAAATGCAGCCAGAAACACCAGCAATCCTTTGGTTTGCTCCTCTGAAGGTAAAAC